AAGTGTAGCCGCGTTCACGGACGGTTAACCCCGCGTGCTGCTCAGGGAACCTCTATCGACGGTGGTGGTGTACCCATATGGCGTTTTCTCAACAGCTAATCCGATTTGGCTCGCTAATGCGTATACGTGTATTATAGTGTGTACGTTTTGGGTCTTGTATATTGCATATATATATTTATATAACACACGCGAAAACCAAAACGAAAACATCGAATCCGTTTTGTTATCGCACACCCTTAATGTACCGGGGAGAGAGGAAAATGTTATTATAATAAAAAAAAAAAAAAAAAAACCAAGCAATGATAACGCGTCAACATAGTGTATATATTTAAATCGCGATGACGATGAAATTCACTGAAATTCTAACGATGCATTTATGCCTCTGTTTCGGTTCGTTGTATACTTTATGCGCGTAACACATTCCTACACTACACATGTAACATTATATATATATATATACTCATGTCATTATATATAAATATCGCCGCCGCCGAATAGACTTAAGCCTTCTCGCAAACGCCATTAAGCCGGATAAGTCCAACGTCTCAAGGGACCGTGAAAAACGGAAGTGGTTCTCTCAACCACAAATTATGCGAGTAATGCGATATCGAACTGCAAACACAGTGGTGGTGGTGGCGAGTTGATTGCCTACTACGGTGTCTTAAGAACGCCCGGAACTATATATGTGCGATTCAATACCCTAATCATTAGAATATTATTCCTTCGTCTATATGCGTACTTAGTAAATATACTAAACATTGTTTACATTCGGCTTATAATTTATTGTACGATGAAAAAAGTTTTTTTGACGGTTATACTGTTGCGTTGCTACAGGTAGAGCTATTAGAGTTCAGCAATTCAGTATTTTATATTTTTATATATATAATATCTGCGTACACCGACATGACCGGAGCAACTAAATGATATGTATACCTACACGTATAAATGTAACTATTAATAAAGAATAAGTTTTGATGATTTTTTCGCTTTTAATTTGAATGCAATACGATATGTTAAGTAGATACTATATTAATGGATGTAGTTAGTGCGAGTGTTTTATGTATAGTTTAATGATAGAATTATTTATGAAAATGTAACTGTCGATCAAAAAAAGCTATATGTTAAAGGATTTAAAAAAATGAGCATGTAGATGATAAACGTAATATTTTAGGGAAAAGCTGTTCTGAATACGTGTAAACAAACTATTATATGTACATCTATAACAATGCAGGATGTTAACATAAAATGGGATATTATACACAAGTATGAATCACTTAAAAACTGTATCAGATGAAGCGATGAGTCTTTTACGTTCAGCAATAAAATTAAACGTTGCGGACGTGAAGAAAATACATTACTCGGAGAAACGCGAGAAGGGTAACGGTAAAAATGTTAAAATGGCAATACTCGTCGAGTGTACAAAATACAAGCAACGCCACCCTTACGCTCTATATACCTAATCGATCCTCGAATAACGTTTTATTTTTTAAATCTTCTTAAACATGAATATATACATACATATACGTGTATATATATATATATGTACATACATTATATTTATCTCCAAATAGTATGGTTATCATTTCGAATCGGGGGTCGAGTTTTATTATAATGTTCCATAACGTTTAGTTTAATGAAAAAACACAAGGGTTGTATACATTTCAATTACCTTCGTAATATGATTATGACTTTCGGTATGGAACAATAACAATATTTTAAATGCGGGAAAAATACTACAACGACGGCGGGACGATCTTATGAACGTTTTATTGTTATTATGTCGCATTTCGATGACTTTTACCCACAGAGTATTTAATATTTATAAATATATATTATTGTATGTATAGAGTATATATATATACATATGGAACAACGATTATTATTGTTTCCATTTATCATATCATTTCGATTGGAGAAAATATAATAATATGATATAGTTTGTAAAATGTTTTTGGAGATGATACTATTTATTAACGTATAAATGGAAACGGTTATAAAAAAAATCGTGTAAGCTGCAAATAAAAGGGTTTTTATGTAGTACATAAGAAACTAAGAGAATATATACATATACGCTATATCGGTTTGTAACATATATAATAGAAAAAAAAACTCAAAAATTCTCAGCTATTGTATACGAATATAAACGACGCCTGTAAACATAAATTTAATGCAGCAGAAACTCGTCTGTTGAATATAATTTAAAATACGTCCTTCACAAAGAGAATTTGTAAATTAATTTATATATATATATATATTTCAGTCGTATAAGATTGTATTTAAATTTGAGCTTAAGGTTTGAGTGTAAAGTTCAAATTAGTTTTTTGTTAAAAATAATGTTCGGCAAATTTTTATAAATAAAACATTCATGTAAGTCAAATAAAATCTTCTTTTACATCATATGATCAATGACGTTTGTCTACAATACACTAAAAATATATTCTTCTTAGGATACGATTTTTCGAACAAAAGGTTTAGAATTTTTAAAAAGAAATAAAAAATTATAACAATAATAATTATCAATAATAAGTAAATAAAAGTTGAAACGACCTATTTTCACGAATGTATGGACAATTTACTTACTCTTCCCCTAAACACTGCCTACCTTTTCTCATCTTAAACTACAGCTAATATATTTTATTAGTTTATTTCTTGTTTTCACAAAATGGAAACAATCGTAAACATTGTTTGTAAGAAAAATAATAAACTCAGGTCTCATGAATTTGCTAATCGATCTTGCTAAGTTATATTTAATTTCAAGTAAAATAGAAATCCATTTCAAGACACCAAGATACAAGCATAACATTTTATTTTATTCGTTTATTCGGCATCTTCATGCACTTTTGTGTTTAACGGGAATATAATTAATATTTTTGATATTTCCGAAAAAATATTAGACTTGAATTATTTGTACACTTTGAAACACACAATTTCTCCTGAACAAAGAACCACGAATACAATTTAAGTTCCAATTTTTTTTTTTTTTCGTATAATGAACTGAACTAACAGAGTAAGATTTTATGCTAAAGCTTGTAGAAAAAAATAACCGACGTATACTCCAAATACAGTTTATTTGTACAACAAAGCGATTTAATATAAGAACGATTTTAATGATCGGCAAATCTTATACGGTCGAAGCCAGTACTGCCATTGTTATCGAGAATCAAAAAATTACTTAGAAGTTGAAAAAAAATAAATAATAAATACATTTTCGAGGATTTTATACCGGCGCGTTCGAAATATTTTCCACGGCGCGGTTGTACCTGTGTTTACCTACGAGATTTCTTCGGCGCGCAAACGTCCCGCGAATCAATAACGAACGATATCACGGGAACGCGAACATTACTGGCCCCATTACGAGTGGTGTTATCACCGTGGAGTTGTAAACACGAATCGAACGCACGCGTAACGTGCGCCGCGTATTTTCGTAAGGGACGCGCGCGCGTAGCAGTCGGCCGCTATAGGACATTATAGATGTTTTGACTAACGCGAAACGTTGTTTGCACACGACCGTGGTCGGGGCTGGGTAGAACACGTGCACTTTTTATATAGAGATTAATAACGGCGGCGTTACAAGCAGCGGTTACGCGGGCTGGCGGGCGGGCGTGCGCGTGCACTAATGAAGCGTCGTCATCGAGTGTCGGATGTTTGCGGGCGGACGGGGCGCGGACGACGCGCGCACATACATCGTGTTGTACACGAGCGGAACGGTGACGCGCCGGCGGAGGGTGCGCGCGCGTTCCGCTGCCGCCCCGCGCGTCGTCGGCGTGATTTATGGCATCACGGAGGCCGCCGCTGTCGGCGGACACGGAACGGTGTCGGTCGGTGACGGCGACGGTGCGGAAGCGGCGGGAAAAATGAAGCGGATCGTTAGCGCTTCTTCGCGGGGCAATTAAAAGCGCCCAACGGCGGCGGCCGTGTCGGTTACCGTGGTAACGGTTGTTTGAGGAAGAGACAAGTGCGCCGATCGTACACGCGCGTATTGCATGCCGTACAGTAGCGCGGGTGCGCGCGCGCCCGCGCAAGAGGTGGCGACGGGTGGCGGTGGCGGTACAACGACCCGAAACCCCGTCACTATAATTGGAGGATTACACAGATAATTGAATCGCCCTCAACGCGTGGCGACAGTGCGCAGCGTATATATATATATATATATATATAAATATATTGGGCAGAGTGTTGAGCGAAAGAGAGTGGCGCGGGACGACGACGACGACGCGTTGAAACCGCACGACGGCGGCGACGCCTTTCAATAAAAATGTAAATTCGTATAATAATATAATTTTTAATAAAAAAAAAAAAAAAAAAAAATACGTGTATATATAAATAAATAAATAACAATCCTTCGTGTATTATTACTATATTCGCGTACGCGGGACCGAGGAAATATAATTCAACCGTGGTCGGGCTTAAGCTCGTCTGCTAGTGCGGGTTTCCGCGCGCGTGCGCGCACAACCTCCCGCAAATTATAATAATAATAATTCGTATATTACGCGCCCCCCCCCTCCATCCTCTTGTACCATCGTGTCTCCCGTGACGGGTGGTTGTTACGCGTACAGGCTCCCACGTAATCGCAGCGGTATGACGTTATACGTATTATGTTCTAGACTTACGTTGTTTCGCGCAACGATATTCACCGTTTTCTAATATTGTACTGCGCGTTGGTACACACCAGTGTTATTAGTGTATTAGAGCTGAGATGTTACGAAAATTGCGTTCGATCGAATTTCATAAACCGTTGTTGAAAACGTTACGTATCGACGGTAGTATCAAATGCGCGTTGCTTACCATAATAAAACAATAGCCCGTTCGCCGACCTCGTATTTTTTTATTTATTTATTTATTTATATATTTTTTTATTACACTATTAACCGAAGTTGCGAAGAAACGCGCTTAAAACTCCCCGTTAAGTATAAAAAGAATTCTCGGAAGTAAACTTTAGTACAAACACACCGAAGAGTTGGGCTCTACCGACAGTTAACATCATGTGACGGATGACTCACCTTAACTTGAGATTCAGTCATGCCCAACGCGTACGCCAATTTCGCGCGTTCCGGACCCGCTAGGTACTTGGTCTGTTCGAATGTCTTCTCGAGCGCGAAGATCTGTTGCCCGCTAAATGTGGGCCTCGTGTGTTTCTTCTTGCCGTCCTTGTCTTGGTTGGAATTATTCACTGTAACACCATTGCACACAACATCATTGATTAATGCGCAAAACCAGTTTCTATACGATTAACACGCGCCACCACATATCGTGTAACTTATTTCATTACGTTCATTTCGAGACACAACGCACTGTATTTAGTCTTGCACACATAACACGTTCAAGTGCAACTATGTATATTTAACATTATGTATACACTACTGCAATATCTCACCGATAGTCGTGTACTGATAACCCTTAGACCAAATTGTTATTAAGCATTAGCGTAGAGATAGGTCTTAATGGTGTACAATTCCCGCGATAAACGAACTTTATGCAAGAAACTTTTCGAAATCAAATCATTGCTCTTATTATTCTCTTATTATTCCCTCAAAAATGTTGTTTATCAAAAATAATTTTTAAAGTTTTTTTTTTTTGCGTACACATTTTCAGAATAAAATTCGCAGTGTTACAGATTTAATATGAAATTCTATACTATAATCTCCACAAACTCTGTATGTATTAACATTTTAGCAAGGTATGAGCTCTTAGTGACAATTTCAAATAACTCAAAATTAGCTCTTATTATCGTATTTCGATGCGGTCGCCGAAGCAGCAGTGACGGCAGGGAAAAATAAAGGAAATGTTCTCGGCGAACAATCTAGAAACAATAATATAAAATAACATTTCCCCTGCCGCAGCGCATGGCGTTTCGTTTTCGATATTGCCGGAAAAGTTATCGTAAACACAACAATCTGGCCGAATGATCGTTGCGGTCGATTTCCAGGGCGCCGAAAACACGCACGAAGTATAATGTAGCGGCAACCTCTCCCGCGTTCGGTTTTTCATTCTCTTTTCTACGTACGTTCGTCCTACGTCTTTTTCTCCTTTTTCTCCGTATACGTATATACGTATATAAATACGATGGTACATATATATATCGTTTAAAAACAACGAGCAAAAGTAATATAATAAAAGGAGCAGCCCAACAACATAAAACACGTTTAAAACGAACGCGTGTGGAGAAAATAAATAGCTAATACTGTACATAGTACATATAGACGTATATTTTTTTCCCGGAGAAAACCGCGAGGGAAAGCCTTGGTGTACTGCAACGGGAAGAGGAAATTGCAGGAAGTGGAACGGAAGGAAGACGAGGATAGAAAGGGGCGTTATGTTTTTATCACTCGAGCAACGAGACGATAGCGGGACGGGACGGAGGGGTGATATTCAGGGTTCCGGGAAAAGCGTGTCAACGAGAATTTCATTTTGTTAACACAATCCACGGTGGCGGTGTCGCACACACACACGCGTATATAATATATATATATATATATATGTGTGTATATTATACCAACGAAATACGTTGTTTTCATCGTCTCTCTTTGCCATTACACACGCGCACTCGTGTATACGTATATACGTCAATAAATACAAACGTGTAAGAAAGAAGAAAAACCAAATAAACGATCTATTCTCCGTGCGTCCGGGGACCGCCAAATCCCGTTTACTGCATTTCAATGTAATTCCATCGGCTTTTGCCACCACCACCCATACCATCACACTATCTTCGTGTCGTCTTCGTCTTTATATATATATATATATGTACAGAAAATTACATCGTTACGCCCATTGCTACTTTTTTCTTTTGGTTGAAAATGGTTAAAAAAAATACGAATAAACTTAACCCGTGTTCACGTGAAACAATGTGCGTCGCACTGTGACTGCTTATCGCGTGGAATCCCAATCGTACAAGACTTTAAACGAGTTCAATGCTAAATATTTATTTTCGTATGTTCGTACGCGCAACAGTGGCAAAAGTTAAATGCTTTCGATGTATAATACAACAACGAGTCGCCTATAAAAAATATATATTTATTTATACCTAAAAAGTGTTATTTTTAATTATTGCATAAGCTAACTAACTAACTATCCATCCATGAAACTTTTCATACAGTCTCATTTAAAAATTTATTCGTTATTATAATACAGCGGCAACGACATTGAAATAACAACTACTGCAGTAAAGAGATTTTCAAAGAGATGTTAATTATTTCCAACTATATAATAACAGTAAAGTGGCGTATATACTTAATTCAATTGTTTCATTCTCAATTCACGTGTTCGATTAGTAATTATAGAATAATTTAATTACACTTATAAATCTCCATTATGGTACACCGCACTTGAAAATTTAATTAAAAAGTTATTTGGCAAGAATCTAGTTATGCCCGTTTAAACCATAATTCGTATGTATTATATAAATATAGAATAATAATTGACAAAAGCTAAATATTAGTTAACTCATTCATTATATGAAATCATAACTGATTTACGATAGTCTATAGAATGATGAAAGCTCGAAAGTTATAATCGTAATATTACAAGTACCGTCTTACGTTGTTGATTATATAATAATAGTTATTTGACATATTACGTGAAAGGATAAAACGTAATGTTGTAGAATTAATGCGTGAAAAAATAAAATAAAAGCCTTTTCAATTATCCCTTCGTGAATTAAACGGACGATACGAATTTGCCGGGCGAGTGTGAGTACGTGAGTGTAAATGTACGTCCGAGTGTGTTTTAGAGATGCCGCACATGCCGTTACACGGGATTTCGGGTCGAGCGGCGATATTAATAAGCTTTAATACCACGCGTTTACACACATACATACACACACACACATAAAATCACAAACACAAGAGCGGCGGTAGCGGTCCCTTTAAATCATTACATAATTTGACCCTTATAAAACCTCCTCCTCCACCAGTTCCTCGTATCCGGTTCCTTCTCGCTGAGGGTCGGCAGTGGCTGCGGAGGCCGCCGACGGTGTGCGCGTTTCGCAGCCGTAAACGGCGGCCACGACTGCGATACAATATAAGGGACGTGAAAGCTGCAGCGGGACCACTATCGGTCCCCTCATTGTTTGACACTGTGACGGGAGCTAATTGAATAGTTTGTAGATTGAAAACGATATTGCGGGCCACTGCGGGGACCGTACGCGTGGGGGGCGGTTGTTGCGGCGGAAGGGCGGTCGAGCTATCGCGCGCGCGCGCGCGCGCGCCCGCTATACCGTGTGTGTATATCCGCCCGCCCCCTGCACCGCGCGCCGTACGCGGACGGTCAGTTCCGGAGATTACCGCACGCCATAACACTTTCGCCACGCCGCCGCCGCCGCCGCCGCCGCTCGTTGCAACAGCTTGCGCGAGCTTCGGACCACGGGCCGGGAGACAGGTGTTCGTTCTGCTGCCGAAAGGATCGGGAAGGGTGGATCGTGGGACGACGAAACTTTTGTCGTGTATCTCTGCACTGTATGTGTAGTATAGTATATGCAGATATAACACTATTTTCACAAACGCGTTTCTATACGCGGCGCAGACGTGTACGCACGAACTAAATGTCGTACGCTGTATACAAATACGAAATATGTATTACGCGTGCTGCGTTGACGGTGTGTACGAGTATTCAACAAACGATTAAGTATCTGTAGAACATATTTTTTATTATTCGAATACGCGGACTTTGCAGCTCTCCGTCGGTCTGCTTTAAAAAGTGTATTTCTATATTTCCATTCAATAATATATACACATATTATATTACCTATTAATGTTTCGCACCGTCTACAAGATTTATTGTATCTTTGAAATTAAATCGATAACTGTATGCCAATTATTTTTACCATCGTGGACGTGAGCGACTGTGCGTTCAATGTACTAGAGAACGTACTAATTTTCGTTCATTTGCTTGAAACTATTAGAAAAAAAATCTACGATAATCCGAAAAATTTATCGTTTGCTTTTTAATCGGAAGAAAAACAAATGTTTACCAATATTTCAAAATATGATTTTAGATAAGAATAAAATATTATTTAATATGTAAGAGTATGAATAACGAATTCTAGAGAAAAATAGTAAACTTAATACTTTATAACCACTGAATACATTTTTTGAACGATTTCTTTAAAGACTTTTTTAATGAAACTCGTAGAAATCCTAAAAATATATACAGAAAAAAACACTTTTAAATTTACCCGAAATAATGATTAGTTATCATGTGAAAATCGAAGCATTTAAGAGTGAATTTATCATACATGAATATTTAATTTGATCGAATGAATTATGTGTATCCATTAACATATTATTCGTTCATTTAAATCTACTATAATTAATAAAAACATTATTTTGATTTATATATTATAAAAATATTTAGTGCACCGATTTATTTTTAAGAAGTACGGAGGTAATATTAAGAAACTGAAAAAGTAAATTAAGAATATAATTTTTTAGAGATCCTACATAACTTGTTTATTTTAATTTTAGACCCATACACTGTGACATTTATTTTGCTATATTATTGAACGCACATTATGAAAATTGCTTTTTTTTTCAATTTCATCGATAGAATTTTAACAGTCAAACTGAATCATTTTACAATATTAATGTCCATTTGGATTTATATTCGCGTTGTAGGTACATTTTTCAAATTATTGTAATACTATATAAGTAGGTATACCAACTAACCTTCGATATTTATGCGATACAATGTTATTATGTATATATAAACTACATATTGTATTATTCTAAAAAATGAATCGCATCAATTTTGAATAGTGATTTTGGTTTATACAACGTACATGTCATAAATAATCCTCTGAAGTTTGAATATAAATTTATTTTAGCGAAATCTTCATATTACAGGTACTATACATATTAAAAAAATATATATAAGAATGCGGGACTAAATTTAATGTTATTTAATTATTATATTGTCATTATTTATTTTTATTGTACCTATTATTATTGGCAACCGCGTCTCTGCTCCGTTAGCGGTGACCAATTGTATAATCTTGCAGAAACATTAAATAATAATACGTGTAGCTAGAGGACATTTTAATTATTATAATCAACGTTTCATGTGCGCGTAACGAATCGAACGGAAAATTGCGCACAAACTTCTCATAAATACATATTGCATGCATATTCTGAGTACCTATACGTTCTATATACATGTGTGAATGTACTCGTATATTAAGAAAATAATAACTGAAACAAAACACGTTTTGTAATAATATAATATTGTTGTAATAAAAAAACTAACCGGAGGATATAATACACAACCCATATGTGTGTGTGTGTGTGTGTACATATTTTAAATGTTAAGGCATGATTTTTAACGATACAAATGCACGTACATTAGTTGTATTATTTTCTACCGGTACAAAAACATCGTATAGTATGTGTGTGTGCGTGCGTGTGTACCGCGTGTGTAAACCGTTTAGAAACCACACTTATATAGTGCGTCATGCGCACGGGATTATAAAAATATTTTAGCCGTCGCACCCTTTTAAGGATATACGCGTACACGTCTGACGTACACAGTTAACATGGCGAACTATAGGTATACGTACGACGGCCATATTGCAGCCCCCCAGCCGGATATTCCCCCGAGTGCAAACAGCGACCACGTTTACGCGCAGCGGCAGCTACAGTATTTGCTCGTACGCTACATAGGGAGTGCGTAGAATAGCCGCTGCGCTGTAAAATGATAATAATATATATACTATATGCGTGTGTACAGGGGCCAACAAATCCTTCGTTATACGCCGTCGCCGCAAAGACGCGTTACGTGTATAATAATAAACCAACCCCTTTTTTTTTTCTTACAGTCGCATACATGCCGTATATATTATATTGTGATGATTTCGCGTGCGATAAGACTCGCGTCTTTTGTGCGCGCACGTCGTATATATTTATTATACCTATTCCACGAGGTACATATTTTTATATTGTTACGTATTATTATTATTATTATTATTATTATTACTACACTGATGTACTGATCCGCGATGGAAAGAGAGAGAAAGGTCATCTTGCCATTATGAGTGTGTGTTCGAGGCACATTATATATACCATCAGCCCATAAACCAAACCAATTAATTCCTCGCCCGGTGGTACCATTTATTGTTTTTTATGATCCTTTGTTGTCAGTTTCGCGACAAACGATGTAATTGAAAAAGAAATACACCTCTATCTCGCACGCACGCACGCACGCTCTTATAATTTTTGCCAATTAGGTACAACAGTCGCGGTAGATGCGTTTGTAGGAAAAATAAAAAATGATACGTCGTCTAGCGATTTCTTTTTTATACTTGGTCATTAAAACAAGACTTAACGTACACACATAATACATTATTATACAGATGTTTACCATATTATACACGCATCGCGTACTTTCGAATTTAATGTGACAATTAATTAATCTACGAAACGTTTAAATTTAAATAACATACGTTTATTATTAAAATTGCTCTATATGAATTCAAGTACAATATAAATGATTATTAGACTTGCATTTTTTTTTTCTCATTAAAATAATGGAAGACATGCGTTATGATCAAAATGAGAACCTACCTCTATAAATACCGCTTTCTACGCACCACTGTATGATTATGATATGCGGATCATATAATACATGTATGATTCGAATCATCGTATTAATACATTATTCCATCAATACGTATATCGAATATTCGCAATGATTTACATAATTATACCTACGGTCACCGTTCGAATGTAATATTTTAATACTATGTACAGTATTGCAATAATGATTGCTCGAATGATCGCATTATTTTTAGTTTCAGAATCAAGTTTTGGCGACGCAGTACTACTCGCTATAAACGCAGTGGAGCTATGCAGTACGTACGACGTTTTATAATATCGTATGGCACGAGAAGTTCAGCAACGCTTGCAGCCATGTAGGTATTATACACGAATATGATGTGTTGAAGGATAATGGTATAAACATAATATATAAAAATGAATATGGTGAAATGCGCTCGTCGCGTGGTAAAAGTTTAGCGCCCCTAATAATCCTTCTCGGATGGGTCGGAGGGGTAGAGCTTTTACCACAGCCTGTATGCGCGTGTGTTTTATCCCCCTCGGTTTTCTCTCTTTTTTTTTTTTTTTTTTTTTTTTTTTATGCTGAAAACGAAGTTTTGTGTCCGCGATGTGGCATCGGTGGCTGTGGCGGCGGTGGCAGACGAGAGGGGTTTGCAGCAATCGCACACATCTGTTACCGCTTTTGACCGCCGCGGCGGTTGCCGATATTTGTGCGGACGTCATTTGTCACCGGCCGGTGGAAATCATAGGCCAATAAAAATGCCGTTTTCCCGTCCGTATATATATATATAATATTATTATACACACACATACACACACACACACACACACACACACACACACACACACACACACACAATACACACTAGTGTCCGTATTTATATAAATATGTATCGTACACGTATAGCATATTATGCGTATGTTGGTAAATATGTAAATATATATATATATTTATAGCATATGTACTGTATATCGTTTGTAGAACGTAATGATGGATCTATGCGAATTTCACCACAAAATACAAAATACAACTGTATATATGTGTAGGAGTAAAAAGCTATAATATACACATTCCTTGAACGAGTGTTTTTATTATTATTCAAATTTATGATTTTCGTTCCATAATTTGTTGATTATCATGATCACGTATTAAGTTAAAACTTATCCATTATTAAGTTCAAAAATACTATACAATAATATGTGTAAAATAAACAGGGCCAGCGCTAGCAACAGTTTATAAATGTAGGGGGTCAGTGTACAAATTTTTCGCCTGCTTTCTAAAACAAAATTCTACAGTACTAATGTTACTTAAATCTATTAATAATTGCCGACTAAATAAATAGATAATTCATAGGTGGGAAGGTATTGCACTCCTCCCCACCCAACCTACCCTTAAGCTGGCCCTGAAAAAAAAAATCCATTTTCACCTGATTAAAAATTCATATTGTATGTATTATAGTGACGCTGGTCGAATTAAATATGCATATTTTCGCGTTGTTGGAAGTCTTGAAATTAATTATAGTGCATTTGAAAAAAAACTCACGATAATGATTATCATAAACCTGCTTGTATTCCGGCGTTTCATATTAGATTTATTTCGAAATCTTCTACCGAATTGAAATCAAGTAGTTTACAGTTTTAAAACGCTATTAGAAACGTTATTAGTACTAGAAAACCTTGCTTAAATTAAAATTGTACACAACTATTGCTGTGTGTGAACTACAAGTGCGTGTGTGTTGCACTGTTGTGAAGTATAACTGTACGAATAATGTCTATACTCACAGCTAGCTAGTCTGTCTCGCCACGCGATCGGGTTGTTGACCAACCCTTGGAACCCGGGCCAGTACAGGTTTCTGGTGGTGAGATCGGCCAGCGTGGTGGCCGGGTGCTTGACGCCGCCGTTGTGGAAGTAGGATGCGGCCGCGGCCATTCCGGCGGCCGCGATGCCGGCCACGCTGTTGAACGCCCGCTGTTGGTGGCTGATGGCGGCCGCGGCCCCCGTGGTCGGCGGCCGCGACAATATCTGCTCGATGCCGTGCGGGTTGCCCGCCGTGCACCCGTTCTTCATCTCGGTCATGGTGTGCAGTGCGGCCAATGGCGGGCTGCTGCTGCACGGCACATCCAGAAAGTTGAACATGGGCGACAGCATGTTGTGGTGATGGTGGTGTTGCTGCTGGGACAACATCATTGTAGAGCCCAACGACGACCTGTGCGCACACGAATAACAAATATGTATTGTATGCATTGTAAACTGACGACTACGACGATGACGTATACGAACAACTATACACGTTTACAGGGTGCACCGTGAACACTTATAAGGTTGGGTTGCGTTAACACCGTTCACCTATTCGGGACACGCAACGTACGCTTATATTCGTATACAGTGCGGGATACACAAACACTATGGGTCAGTGAGAATTCGCGTGATGATCGATCGAACAACGTCCGCGACTGAACACATGATTTATTCAACGAAGTGAGGCGTGCGATCGTGCGGTTGCTTAAGCGGTCGAACGTTTGATGTTTAGTTATACGAACCCGTAATGTTGTTCTAGCATTTTCGTAATGAATCACTCGGAGGTTTCGGGAACGCGTTTCTTCGAAGTTCGCGGGTACCGAGCACCCTAAACGCCCCCGTCCCCCATAAACGACCTTACGTTTTTCGTACAGCACTAGCCGACTCAGCCCTTCCGCGCCGAATCGCTGCGCGAAAAATAAAAATGTTACGCCACGGGGCCACGTACGCGACGGAGTACGAACCCGCGTGCGATAAAATCACCGCCGCCCCCGGTCGTCCGGTAATTGTATGTTGTACGACTTCGCCGCGACGATAATAAACAATCTGTTATTGCACACGCGCGCATCATCACTATGTACACGATACATATTACGACGACGACAACGACGATGATGATGATGATGATGATGATGCGAATGCGCGCGCTGTCGTCACATTTTCAACCCGCGCGGAGACCGTTACGTCACAATGATTCGCGTTACGACCCTACCGAATGTATTTATCGACGTAGAAACCATTGTTGTTGCTCGTAACACCGGAAAATTTCCATTCTCATCGCGCTGCAGTGCCGGTAACGACGCGGTATATTATTTCCAGTTTCGGGTGTAGATTTTTACGTACGTATACGTTTGTGTAATATATTCGTACGTTATACCTACGCGATATGCGCGCGCGTATTTAGTCGAGTTCCGTGGCTAATCTTGAAGTATACGGTTCGCATTGAAATCATTGGATGTAAATATGTAATATGTATATTTACTTATCGTCATGTGGCCATGTATGATTAATGTGACGATTTCAATTTTAAAATATGTAAATCGTCAACGGTCCTATAGGTAAATACGTACTGCGTCATCGTATAAATGCAATCGTTCAAAAGAGAGCATGGCTTGTAATATTTGGTGATTAATTATTATCGCGAATGATGAATGTGAAAGTATCATAGGTATATAAAGTTGATAATGTGAGAATTGTTTATTATTGTTAATCATCACGAAATACGTCCTAAATAAACGAATAGTTATAATATTGTACTTGGTTATAAAGAAAACTGTTTTTAAGTAAAAAAAAAAAAAAATTCACTCTCCTTAATAAAATATGTAAAATTTTCATTTAATAAATAAATATACAATGAATCGTATTGTTTGGACTTCAGGAGATGTATTAACATTTCGTAAAAATGATGAGATCAAGATGCTTAATGTGATTATACACGAAGTGTTATGGGAGGAAAAAGTAACAAATCAGTTTAAGAAAAAACACATGCACCGGAGATCTCTAATCAAGGGGTAGGTTGTTGGGAAAAACAACCGTGTATAATTATACCGCACACATTTTACACGTGTTTTCGTCTAAACTCGTTTAAATTCGGGAAATTTAAACGTCCGCTTTTGAGAGGTGTTCACCGCTAATACGAATTGATTTCACCCGCAGTACGTGTCTGTTATTTGTGCGCGTTAAAGCTTAGGACAAAACGGCATGGTACGACTGTTCGTAATATATTGTTTGTGCGGAAAAATCGAGACGGTACAACTAACCTGGACGAGTCCTCAGCCTCGCTGGTCGTCCCGCTCTGCACTCCCGGCGATGCCGTCGTGGTGAATGCTTGGCACACCGGACGATTTTCAAAAAGTCACCGTTGCGACGGCGGCGGGTGCGACGCGGACAACTCGTCCACTTCCACGTGCTAGACGTCCGCGGCGACGGCGTTGGCGGTCGAACACGACGTCATGGTGTACCTAACCGTCACGGGACGTGTTGCGTGCAAAAGCGCGAGATCGTGAGAAACGCGAAAAATGTAAAACAAAACAAGAAAATAAATCGCACGACGTACTGTAGTAACGTACGTAAAATGTTTTCCGTTAATCGCAGTGTTTTTTATTTTTTACCGTGCGTCAACAGTGGCACGACGACGACGACGACAACGGACGTCTGATCCGCGCGGACAAAGTACTACGACGATGACTATACTATCGTTTACGCGAGTAACACGTTAGGAAAAAAAAAAATAATCAAAATCAAATAAAAAAAATTAAACCGTACACGCCGCTGTACAACACCTATGTATGGTCGCGCGATCGGAAAGTATCCGCGGGCCGAACGGTTGCGATGTGAGCGAAAAAAACGACGGACGATAAATGAACACGCACACCTCGGGACGCTCACCCCACGTTCGCCCGCGGCGCCGCCCACCGGTGCCAGATTGGACGGTCGCGTGCGCCCGCCCATCAGGGCTTCACCGCCGCGGCCGCCGCGCGCACTCCGGCCGTGTTAATCAATTACTACTCAACCGAACTCGATTTTAATGCTTTGTTATTATGATGTTCGTTCGTTACGGTTAACAGGGGTTTGCGTGTGTCCCCCACGCCGCCGCCGGGCCACGCCCCGCGAAAGAATATAATATCTAACATATACCTATTATTATTATTATTAATTCTATTACGATAAATATTAATACGTTGGCGTATAACGTGTAAACACAAACGGTTATGTACTATGTATATATAAATAAAATTTTTTTAGTATTATCGTTAAACTATTTGATGAAACGAACAATATAATATTTGATTATTTAAAACGATAATATTATAAACGTTACACCCGATAACGTAACAATAAAATAAATTAATATGCGTGCACTGGTGTAATGTGATTAATAATATTAGTGTCTTCGACGAATGGCTTTAATATGCAGTTTGATATTTATGAAGAAACCCGATTTTTACTGAACTCTTTTTCGGGTACGTCGGAACTCTTCTCTAAATTTTCGATTACCTCCTGTCCAGGGGCTTATCCAGAAATGTTTTACGGAGGGGCGCAGTAACACACTTACACAACATAGTCACTGCACAATAAATATAAAATTATACTATTTTGTTTTTCGTAATTATATAATAAGTACTTACTCTAGTTAGTAGCTATAATGAAAACCCTGTATATTATATTTTAGGGATTTTGGGTAGAGCGTGCGCCCCTTTCCCCTTTCCTTGGATCCGCGCCTCCTCCTGTTGTACTCTCTATCCTGTTATCTCCTTCGCTCTTCCTAGTGTCGGCTTCCTTTTCTTAATTACAATATGTGAACGCTCACTACTGTTATCCTATGTCGTTAACCCCTACAAAGCTGAATAATGTTACTTTCGATAAAAGCGATATTTTATTTTATTTTCGATAAATAAATATAATGAAAAAAATGATGAAATTATATTCAAAGTATAATATTAATCCATTGATTACCCACATATCATTTGTCAATCATAACGATTGAAAAAATATTCATATATGATCGGAATACAAATATTTAAAATAAAACTATGTACAATATTGAATATATATATTTGATTTTACGTGTTGAATCTGAAATGTACAATAAAAATGTATTAATATTTGAAAACCAATATTTAAAAATGAATCAAAATTTAAAATTGTATGAATGTATAATACTTAATTCAATGTTTAAAATTTTTTTAATGTATATCCAATGGATATTGAGCATTTATCAAATATTAACATTTTTTTAAAATATTTTTTAAATATTGAATAAATATATTTATGTTTTGTGGGTTGTAATTAATAATTTTTATTATTAATTATAATTTTTCTATAATAGTTTTCTATTGCCGAGGAAATTCGCTTGTGGCACTTCACTTCAGTCTGGGTGCCCTGTATGTCCTGTTATCTATTAAAAGTCTCCGCAGGTTTCACTCAAATCCTCGTGAAACACTTTGTATACATAAATGTATACGTTGGAGACGTGATATAATTATCGAACATTTAATATATCATATTATGACGTGCCGTTGCTGACGTTGGGACAATTATTGTGCAACTATATCGCCTAGGTATGTATGCAATTGTAGAAATTATATTAATTAAACGTGCTTTGTGTACATATAATACCTTCATCCTTCGATATTCCAAATTCATACACTTACATTTTCCAGTTTCATATAGTATGATTGAACTCAATATTTTACACTAAATACAAATATGTATAATATTTCACAATTAATATCGTAATAGGTGTTCTGCAGTGGTTCCCAAACTGTACACCGCGATGCCCTAGGGGCACCACGACCACTTTCTAAGGGCACCGTGGTTTATAACAAATAGTTTAAAATGTATAAAATTATTTTTCTTTATTGTTTATAAAGTTTAAAAACTTTATAGCAAATAATGTCATATTTTCTACTGTATATTCGGATATTCTCATTTTAACCTTATAATAATTTTATATAATAATAATAATAATTTTTATTTATTTATTTTTTAAGTTTAAGAATGCATTAACTTATAATTAAGTTAAATTTTAATAAAATTAATAAAATTGGTTGTCAATAGGTTTTTTTTGTTCTGTAATGTAGTTCACAGCAGGGCACCGTAGCTAAATTGGGTCCAAAAAAAAGGCACCGCTGAATAAAAAATTTGGGAACCGCTGGTGTACTGTTACAAATACTTTTTACCAGGTACGTATGTAAATTACACAAATTATAATATATACTCGTATATATAACTAGGCATAATTAGGTTTATGGTTTTTTTTTAGATGAACCGGTCAAACTTCAGAAATGTTTCCAATGCTAAGCGTACAAAGATCTAAAAACGACTTCCATTAAAATTATATATATTATATAATACACACAAGACTATATCCGCTAAAACAAAAAGCTCAAAAGCATACGTTATCTACAGTGTCCGAATATCCATCTGAATTACATGCACATATCCGCTCATTAACATATATTTTGCTTCATTGAAAAATAGGTACCATATTAATTCAACGAAAATAAAAAAATATTTAAAACAATGATTACATAACTTTTACTATGTAGTATCATAATGTGCAATCATTGGATTTGTACGCTTATCGTTATAAATATATATTGCAGGTATTTGTAAAGAAATATAAATACATCTACAACGGTTTAAAAAAACAACCAAGTTATAGCACAGTTTTATTTTTCATTTTTGATGGTTTCTCTATGTAAATATTAAAAATTAAATAAAATGTACATGAAATAGGTTGTCTGTTTACACCCTCCTAAAAAGCAAGTGAAGCGTACACAAATCACGAAAATTCGTCAGTCATTTATTATTACTCCTCTTCTACACCATTTCACTTCTTATTATATTAATGTTCCATACATTTACATTTAACATTAAAGTATAATATTCATATTAAGCACTAATAATACATTCGTTTCTTTTTTATCTCATTATATATTAAGATGCAAATAAAATTATATAATTTTACCAGATATTTAGGCAATGATATAATTTATTTTCAGACAATATGCGAACATAATATATATTGATATACTATAATTTTTAAAGTTACAAGCATTAGTTTTACACGATTTTTATCAAAGCTATTAAAACAATAAAAATAAGATTTATAATTATACAAATTAATAATAATATTTTTTGATTTTTAATTAGAATATCAATTTTTTTCCACATTTTTATATAAAAAAAATTATATATTATTAATAATATATATATATATTAAATATTATTATAACTACATTTTAAAAATAATTTTTTTTTTAATAATTTGAAGATGTATAGTACATTAAAACTGTGTACTTTAATAGTTATATCTATAACTGTTGACCTTTCAATAATTATATATTATATGTATGTATGGTATATAAATGTTAATTGTTTATTTTAAATATCCATATTTGATTTTATAGTCTTTTTTTTTGCATAAAAACAATTTTTCCAAAAAATTGTTAAGTAAAAGTTTGAATTTAAAATATGATTCCATAATTTGGAACCCATCTCAACTTAATCAAATTAATTGCTTAAATAAAGTACAATCGTACTCATTAAGATATTTAGCATATAAATTTGATTTAAATTATTCTATTAAAGAAATTGTTTCGAAACTAGACCTACACAAACTTTTTACCAGACATAAATTGAATGATGTATCTTTTATTTTTAAAAATTTCAAATAGAAATATCCACTCTTCTGAGATATTAAAAAAAAAATTGCTTTGTTGGTACTAGCTTTTCATATCAGGTTTAGAGTTATTCCATTCTCAATCATTTATATGATTATATATAACTATATAGTGATGTACTATATATTAATGAACATATTAGTCATGTGCTTCGGTGCTGTGTCTGTATCTGACTCTGTAATCTTGATATTTTCGATTTAAATTATGATTCTGAATCTAAACATAGGCGTCAGAGCTTGGATTTGAAATTACAATTAATTATATTTAATTTAATTTTTATATTCATTGCTGGTTTCATTAATTACTTGTCTTATTATATTAAAAATTCTACTTTTATGTTATTTGTATACTAATTAGTGTTAAGTTAATTAATTTATAAGAAATTTTGTACAACAAAGAACTTGGGCGTAAAAAAAAAAAATTAAATAAATAAATAAAAATATAAAAGTATATTACTGTTTTTATTTGCTATATATATACTCATACAATATATGCTTATACATGTATATATATTTTATATACAATACTTATAAGTAATATTTTACAAACGTTATACTGTAAATTATTTACCGTTATAGATTGTGTAATGTATAGTTGAATTATTAAAGTTTTGTCAAAAATACGTATTTGCAGAATATTATATTACGTTAATATTATATATTTATATATACGTTAATAATATACGTTTATATTATATATACGTTAATATATTTACTGTTTTATATCATTTTAGAATAACAGTTACAATCAAAATATATATACTTTATATTTTAGATAAATGATTGCAGCAAACAATAAATTCTATGATATAGCATACCATGAAGTAATTCATGTTAATTAAAAAATATTATATCAAGGGGTGGATCCCTTTGATTTTTGTGTATTAATATTGGTATGCTCATCTATTGTGTTCAGATACCATTACTAAATTATGGGGATTCAAAAATTACAAATTTAACATTATCCCCTGCATTTTTCAAATTTGATTTTTTTTTTTGTTCTAATAACCGTTTGATTTCAAGTAACTATACACACTAACTGATATGATGAGGCCATTTATACATTTAATAGCTATAAGCGATAAAAATCATATAACTTGTTTTTTTACATGGCATATCATTTTGCATATATCATTTTTATGGCTTTGAATAGATTAACAAAAATT